CTGTGCTCTTTCCCTGCAGGAGACAGACCGGGCCATCCCTGTGCTGATCATCGGCATCCTGGTGTTCCTGCCAGGCTTTTACCACCTGCGCATCGCCTACTACGCCTCCAAGGGCTACCGGGGCTACTCCTACGACGACATCCCCGACTTTGATGACTGAGCCRTTAATTAATCCCACTCTAATAGGTTGGTCAGAGCTGGGAGTTCCCTGGACGCCGTGGCCTGGCAGGGTACAGCTGATGTGTGTCCGTCACACAGCATCAGTTCCTGGGGTTGAGATGTTGCAGGTTTTCCAGTTTGGGGGGTGGGGGCTCAAGCGTGGAATTGACCAAAAGGAATTGCAAAGAACTTGGGATTTATGGTATTTTTCCTCTYGGGGTTGCATAATTCCGCTTGCTGGGAAGTGCTTCCTGGGCAAGGCAGTTTTCCAAAAATAGATGAGCTGGTTTCAGCAGCAGAGATACTTGTTTTTTTCTGCAAGTGTTTTATAGAGTTTATTTTAGTTTTCCACTAGATTGTGGTTATTGTTGGGTTACCTTTGGACACAAACCCATTAAATTCTCCTTTTGCTCTCTGTCCATCAGAATTGCTTCCAAATTASTGGTCCTGAGCTTGACTGGAATAAAGTCTGTTATGCACAAGCAGGGGAAATCAGCACTCGCAGGAAATTATTTACACACAGTGCACTTGCTCCACRACTCCCTGTCAGACTGACTAAGCTTATTTCCTCACAAATACATTCTTCCCWAGCCAGCTTTCCCCACGTCACTGTTGCTTTTGGCAAAATACRCTTATCCTTCACAAGTACTGTTGGATTTTGCTTATTATATTAAACAACCAAATGGATACTGGGAGAAGGATTGGAATCMAGACCAGGATTCAAGTGTCTTAATACCAAAAATCCTGGGTTTGACTTATGTGGGAATTGGAGACACTTGAATCCCAGCTGTCTGTGTGTTTGGAGTCCTTTTGTCCTTGTGTAGATAATATGCTGTGCAGAACTGCCCAGACCAGTAAAGAGAAGTTCTCTGTGCTGAACAAACCCCCTCTGGATTGCTTTGCCAGCTTTGCTGATGTGTCATCAGGGAAAACAGAATGATGGCTCCACTTCTGTAAAGTAGAACCAGCCTGTCTCTTAAGCTGGGAATGTCTCAGTGGCCTGGAGAACAGGCAGTGATGCAAGTGGATGCATTTTGCGTGAATAAAGGTCTATATTCTCTGTAACCATAAGTTTGTCTTTCCCACCTTCACAGGTGTCAGAGTGCACTGAAGACTGTTCTGGGCTTTAGCTGCTGTCGCCTCCACCTCCCAAGTGCTGCTGAAGTGAGTGAGGGAGTGAGGCAGCAGCTCTGGAACAGCCCCATCTGCTCTGGAACAGCTCCCCAGCACCCTCGGCCTGCCTTGGGGCAGAGGTGGGATTGCTGCACTGGGGAGGATAATCCTGAGTGCCCAGGGTGAGCAGGTGCTGCTTCACAAGGTCAGGAGTCACTCTTTGAACTCTGGCCTTGGTTAAATGGGAAAAGACCCTGAGTTGGAAGGGCTTTGTCTCAGGTCCAAACCCCGTTCCTTTTGCTGTGCAGGGTAACCCCAGCAGTGTCAGTCTGAACATGGCACTCTAGAATTGTCACGTGAGCCTCAGGTGGGCTGAACATTCTGGAAGGTGGGGGCAGGGTCAGAGCAGAGCAAGTCCATGGAGGTGCCCACAAGATCAGGGCTGGACAAAAACCTTGCTCTGAACATACTCCTAGAATTGCCTTTTTTCTTCCTTCAGTGCTCCAGAATAAACCCAAAACCTAAACCAAGTTATTTTTTTTTAACCTACATCTCTTCCTTCATTTGTCTCAATTCCCTTGTGTGAATCCCAGTGCTGCACTCTGAGGAATAACTGATTAAATTCAGTATCGCCCTTTTTGCCTCTGAAGGCACAACTGGGCATGTTCTCTTCCTGCTGCCAGCCCCAGCTCCCAGGATAGGAGARGGGACATGGGACATGTGCTGCTGGCAGYAGCTGGAATGTGKCAATTAAAGCTGGGTCTGGCCAGGAGAGCAGCTGCTGATGTCAAATCATGAATCAGCCTCTCTCAGGGGACAWGAACAAAGTGGGTTTATTTGGATTTAGAGAAAGGGGAGAGGAAGTGGAAGGGAAGTTTAGATGGAAAAAGCAGAGAGGGAGGGAGAAGATGCTTTAAGTGAGATGGACAAAATGCTGCTGGTTGGGAAGGAGGTCACCTAAGTGGGATAAAAAAATGTAGAGGACAGGAGAAGAAACTGGGCTTTGATGATCCTTGTGGGTTCCTTCCAGCTTAGGACAGTCTATGATTCTGCAATTCTGAGAATATGCTGACATTCCTGGAGGAAAGGAATGAATTAATTTATTATTCTTTAACAGAAGCAAAGTCCTCAGGCAGCACAGTGGATARATAAGCAGGGCTGTGTGCAGGATGGCCAGAAGAAAAAGTCCTCTCTACAAGGGTTGGTTTATATCTAATTGATGGGAAACAAGGAAACACTTGTGGGAAAGAAAAAGTAGATTCCAACCACTGGAAATACGTGGATCCACATGACTTCATTCTTCAAGCTGACATCCTACATTCAAAGCACAGTTTTCCTCCAGTACAAAGTCTCCATGTCTATTAAACAGTCTATTAATTTTCTAGCTATACTGTACCTAATGTCCAGGCTTCTTTTTTTTTCTTGCAAAATAGCACAAGTTTACCTTGATTTTAGGAGCTTGTAAACCTTTWCTGCAAACACAGGTGAGCCTGGTCCCTGTCTGGTATTGGTTCTGTTCAGGTGAAGRTTTGAGGGTACTCAGAGCTGTCAGATTTGTTGCAACATGACAGAAGGATGAAGTTTTCCTCCCAGGCAGGGCTGTTGTTTCTGTGTCTCTGTGCTGATATATTGCAATAAAATCTGTTGAATCTTCCTCCTGCCCCTGCCATGCTGGACCTGCTGGATTTGCACTCCTGGCTCAGCTCCTTTGCTGTCCAAACTCCCTGCATGTGCAGCTGCTCCCTTCCCTGGCTGCAGGTGCCAGAGGCTGCTGCCAAACCCCACAKTTCAGAGCTCTGCTCCTCAGTTCCCCTCCTGTAAAATCATGGGTGTTGAGGGTTTGGGCAGTCCTGACTGACTCCATGCAGTGGTGAGGAGAACAGGAAAAGGCCTAGGAAGGAATTTCTGGTTCTAGAGCAGGGCTGGAATGAGAAATAAGGCATTGGCTGAGCCCTGATAAATRAGGATAACACTGAAAAGCTGTTTCCTTTGTGGAGCATCCTCCATTCCAGGCAAGGCAGCTGTCTCAGGGAAAAACAGTCAGCATTTATAGAGCCTGAYGGGGTGTTATTATGCACAGAAGCTCTGGAGAAAGAACAGGCAGCCAGATTCCAGGCTTTCCTCTGGTTTATGAGTGCTTGGATTCATGTCTCCTCAACAGTGTTCTTTGATTGCTGTTGCAGGGTATAGTTGCACAATTAATTACTCACTTAATTTAACACCATTGAGTTGCTGGAAAGATTTGGAAACGTGATTCTAGAGTCCTGTGGCCTGAGCTASCAGCAGTGCCAAAGAAATTCTTCTGGTGTATTCTTTATAAAAGCGAAGATTTTAGTCCGTCTCAGGAATTTTTTTTTTTTGAGTGAACAAAGCTAATTGAAGTTCCTCACCTTTATCACATTAGAGGAAGCCTCTTCTGTAGCAAAGCTGTGTGAAACATCTCAGTGAATAAACGGGGAGGAACAGCCAAGGCAGCAATGGAGACAATCTTGGGTAGCTCCAAATGTTAACTGCAGGCCCTGGAAACTGCTGGGGATCCTGGCTCTTTCCCTGCTCCTGGTGTGCAGTGGCTCCTTGTTACCAGCACATTGTGATTCCCAGGGCAGAGCAGGGCCCTCTCCAGGAGCTCCTCATCACTGCTGCAGTTTGGTGCCACCAGCCCAGAGACATGGCCACCACTGGCTCCTGTTCCAAACATCCCCAGTGGAACTTGTTTTCTCACCCTTGCCACMGCCAGTTCCCACCTGTCTGGCAGAAGATTTGTCCCCACAAGGGAACAATCAAGAGTAGAGCCAGGGAGTGTAGCTGCTTTCCACACAAGATCCAGAAGAGGCTTCATACTGTGGAATTTTTGGCTGCTGCTGATATGATGGAATGGTCTGTGCCAGCTCAGGCACGGGGTGAGGCTGGGGGAACAGGGGTTTGCAGCATCACATCCTCTGCTGGTCTCCAAAGTTATGGCTGATGGGAGAGCCTGTGGAAGGAGCCTCAAACACATTCTGTTACTTGGCAAAACCAGGAGGGTTGGAGATAATCTCAGCAGTGGAAAGGAACAGTAGGAAAAACCAGAATTACCTAAAGTGTTGTACAAATATTGCCATAAATCCTTGGAAGAAGAGGCAGAAATTGTGCTCTTCTAAGTTGTCTGAAGTAATGAAGGGATGGGGAGCAGTTTTACCAGCCTGGGGATTGTGAGCCCCGAGTCTGGGAGAACCCACAGCCCTGAAGGRATCCTCACCCTGTCCCAGGCTCTCCATTCCTCTCTGGTTGAAGTTCCCCAGCAATGATGACACTCACACTGAGGATTTTGCATATATCCACACACAGATGTAAAGAGACAGAGAATCGTTAGGTTGGGAAAGACGTTTGTTTAATATCATTGAGCCCAGCCATGAATTCCCAGCTTCCATCATTCCCACTGCAGGGAAGCATCTGAAGGCTCTGCAGTCCAATCCTGGGAAAGCAGTGCACGTTGTCCAGGCAGCAATTTGACTTATGCTACAGATGGTTTTGGCACCGCTGCTTCTCCTTCTCTCTGAGATTCTCCACGTGCTTGTGCTGCTGGAGGTTCATGGGATGGGGAGAAGAGTAAATCCCATTACTGGTTCCATGGAAACCAGGAATTTGTAACTGCTTGTTCACCTTTTCTCAGCAGTGATTTCTTTTTCCTCTTACTTTTTGGTAACCTCATCTGGGYCTGGCTGGGTCCTGTTTGGAAAAGGTGTGAGGAGGCTGAGCTGGGCACAGGGCACTGACCTCAGTCCTGAAAACATTTTAGTAGAAGTTGTGTGACACGTGCAGAAATAGGGGAGAGGGGATGTGAGGCTACGACCCCCAGGCTGTAAATACAGCCACAAACCCAAAGCTGTGTTTGAGCAAACAGCCCAATGTGCAGCAGCATCTGTRGTGCTTCCCTGGTGCTCATCCTGCAGGAACACTCAGCCCAGCCTGGGTTTGYTTTCTGCCACCTGCAATTAGCCAAATTCAGCATCACTTTTCACAGAGAGGCTCAGTACAGAAATAGGGATTTGGTGTGTCATAAAMGGAGTAAAAACCCCTCGGGAAGGAAGAAATGACTCAGCACAACAGCTCTGTCTCTTCCAGTGGGATCTGTGCTGTGCCCTGCTCTAAATCAGCTTCTCCATGTGCTCTCCATACTCCTCCCCCTCGTGCCTGGTTAAAAGTCCCAAACATCAGCCCATTCATGCAAATGCTCCTTATGCCTTTTGCCTCTTCCTGAACCTTGAGCTTTCTCCTGGCCCTTCCCTTGGGGCGTTTGTCCTGCTCTCCCCAAGTTCTCTGCCTTGAAAACACCTCCAGGACTCCCTGGCTGWTGCTGCCTTCTCAGTGGCCTCTCCTCATTGCTGTACTCAGGAGCTGCATCCCTTCAGCCTGTCGGTGACACCACCCAGCCCTTGGATCTTTCTGGCCTCCCAACCACTGCAGACACCTTTGGTTTCCCCCTCCAGCTCAGGGCAGTGCTGCCCTCACTTCCTGCATTCTCAGCCTGGTGAAAAAGAAACAATTTTTGCTGTTTTCCCTGGGCTCCGTGTTGACCCAGCCGTACTTCCCTGCTCCAAGGCAGATGCTGTGTCCTGCTCCTGTGTGGAATGTGGATGTGCACATGCACAGCATTTCCTCTCCCCTTCCTGAGTACACAAGCAGCTTGAGTTTTTTTAGGAATGCCAGATTTGACTAAAAATAGCCCAGACAGACCAGCAACACCATGACAGATTCCTCCCTCCCAAGAGAGTTGGCTTTGTTCTATGATGGAGCCAAGAGTGATGGGAAAAAACATCAAATTTTTTGGAATTGTGGATTAGGAATTACTGTTTCCAATTGATTTAATTGTCTGGTTTGCTTCTCTGGGCTCAGACAGACTTTGGTTTGTGTTGGTTCAGAACTTGTTACCCTGAGGCCTTTCCTTCCCTGCTTTCTGTGTCTAGGAAGGTGTTAAGAAACTGCTTTTAATTGGAAGTCGGGCAGATACTGTGAGATTTGTGTTATGTCCTGCATGGACAGAGCTTTCTTCTGATAAGAATCAGGAAGTGACATTTCCTTCCTCCACACTTGTACGTGTGTTGGGTTCTGAGCCATGCTCTTGTCCTTATCCCTGGGGGAGCACAGAAGCTGTTCTGGGAGCTCCCCTCCCATAGCAACACAGATCCATGAGATTCATAGAGAGGTTTTCCAGTTCTGCAGTTACAGAGAGGAACAAAACTGTGATGAATCTTCTTTGAGAGGACTTTCAGCTCCTGTGAAACAGCAGGTTTGGCACTGAAGCAAAAGTTCTGTGGAGGAATCACCTTTTCATTCTGGGCTKTTAAAGCAAAGGGCAACAAATCCACTAGTCACCACTAATTAATTTTATTTTGAAATATTTACTTGGGCTGAAATACTAGCTGCTCTTAAGTAAAGGATTAGCTGCCTGCTAGTCTTTTGTGCCTGCAACCATTTATTTAAGCTGTTAGTGCAAATCATGCTATTTAACCTTCCTTCCCTTGTCAGTGGGAAATGTCTGGTGCAGATGGTCCTGCTGGTGTGACAGTGAGAAATTAATACATCCACAGTCAGGTCCTCTGGGCTCTTTCCCCACCTTGTTCAAGGAGGGGAAAGATAGAAAATGAATGTAGTGATAATTGTCTACATCAGAGTATTGCAAAGCCTAACRAGGGGCTGTAAGGAGTTCAGGGAACATGAGCTGGTTGGAAATGCCCCAACCCCTGCCTCTGTGCTGTTACCAGGGCAAATAATTCCTCTCTCTCATGCTGGCCTGCCAGCACCAGCARTTCCAGTGCTCAGTCCTCCAGCCTGACATTCCCTTGTGTTAGAACCATGCTGCACTGGTTTTAATGCAGGTGCTCAAACCAAACGACCCAAACCCACTGCCCAGGGAGAGTTCAGTCATGCAGGAGGATCAGTTTCTGAGCTAAAGCCATGTGTAGCAAAGGAAATGTCCTGAATCTAGAAAAAAATTCTCAAAGAAAACTGAGAATTCATCTCAGCAGGGCTTATTTCTAACTCTTATACATGTGTTTAATGTAAAAGGGAAAGATCTCAGGTCCTTAAACCTACAAATACTAATTAGCATCACCATATAATTTTCTAGCAATTTTCATTAATGTGGCATTAGAAGAAGTCTGTCAGCTCCTATAATCCTTATTTTTCTTGTCCCTCAACACTAACAGTCCATATCGCATCATGACCTCTTCCCTGCTATTTTGGGTGGGTTTTTTCCAGACAAACGCTTTATTTTCTCTGTATTTGATACTGTGGGTCAAGCAAATCCTCTCTGCCTTTTATTGCACAAGAACAGAGGCAGGATTGTAACATGGCCAGTGCAAATGTGTGCCTAAAAATAGGCCAGTGGACGGTCTCCAACTTCAAATACAAAAAGTGTATTTGTAGAGGTTTCTCTTTCTTGCGTGACTGCATTTCAGATCACTGAGGAGACACTTCAAAGTTCAGCTCACTAACAGCTTGTGGTTTAATTCTCCCTGTGAAACAAAGGCGACTCTGACTKAGATCCGTGGTGGGCTGTGACACTGAACCCAGCTCACTCTGGAGTCCATCAGCCCAGGATACTGTCCCCTCTGCTGCCTGCCACCCTGGCCACAGGCTCCAGAGGGACAGGCAGGCCCACATCCCTTCTCC